GACTGAGATAAAAAATAAAATAAAATATTAAAACCACGATGTATCTCGCTGCATTGCGCGAGTACGCTTCTAGTACTTATTAAGTGAATCATATTCATCATCCCTGTCGTTTGGTGGTTTTAACCGTTTATGTTCTTATTTTTAGAATATTGACAAGTTAGGTCCATGGTAGTTATATTTTTCTACGATCTAGTCTCTAATGCAACCACATAGATCCAACTTGTGAATTTATTCAGGACTCAGCTCGTTAAAAAATGAAGCCATAAAAGACCCAACTCTTTAAAAAATACAACTAAGGCACATTTCATTAATTTTCAAAAGTAAAAACGATATCCGTTAAAATTGTCAAACCACAGAGACGAAAATACAATTCACTCTAACTGATTTGAAGCATATGGAAATGGAAACATCAAGATCTTTGGCTTATAATTTGTGTTTAATGGGACCTAATGATCGACATACAACTTGGTGTTGATATAATTCATAACCCCTATCTAATCAGAGACCGGCTATTCTTTGTAGAATATGATGGATCTTGGTTGTGGAAGACCATTGCACATACTTCATTCGTTCACCATCAGAGGTGCACGTAAAAAACGATTAAACGAGGTATGTAAGTTTCCCAATCATTTATTAGTAGAGAGCTCCAAAAATATTGAGTCACTGAACACCTCCAACAACTATGGTAAAATGGAGAAAAGTGAGATTGTAGCATTTTTGTTACCCCAACAGCTATGCTACCCTCAATGCTAAAACAGAGAAAAATGGAGAGAGATTAAAAACATCTCTAAATTTAAAGAAATCTCTAAAACTTTATAGAAGAGAGAGAAACAATATTTTAATCATATCCAATCAATTAAACTTGTTGAAATTAAATGTGTAAGAGAGATAAACAATATTTTATTAAATGTATTGAATATTTTATTAATATAATTGATGTTAGGATTGCTAAAATAGAATAACCGTTGAAGTTGAATGTAAAGTTTTTAGAGATTTTAATTTTTATTACTCTTTATTATTGAATTTTTTTAGCATAACTGTTAAAGATGCTCTTAAGTATTTATAATCCGTATTTTAACTCAATACTATAAATCTTTAAGGGTTCCATGCCAGTAATGGAGTTTAAATGTATAGTGTGCACAAGTATACCACCTGGAAATCATCATCATTATTAATACTGATTAGAGATGAATTTAGGATCTCTTATTTAAGGGTGTTCATCTAAATCGTTAAAACACATCGTAAAACATGGTTTAGAAATTTTGCAGTGCGATCTATGATTTACATTTTACTAAACCAAGCTATGCAGTGTGATTTGCGGGTTTGAGTTATCAAACCACGGTTCAAACCACATTGCACCTCATATTTTGTATATTTTTAATTTTATATAACACACACACACACACAGACATATATATAATTATTATTTATGTAATATTTTTGGAGTTTATGTTTTATACTAATATTGCAAATGACAATATTAATAGATTACTTGGACATGTTACAACTCATACGTATAATTTAGTTTGAAGTTTATTTTTTAATTTCTTAGACTATTATGCAATATATATTAGGGAAACGGATGTATTGGACTATCATCACTTTATTGTTTATTTTATAATGCAATTTTGAACTTATAATTACTATATTGAAAGCATAAACTATGATAGGTACAAAACGCTTAAACCATATCGCACCACATTTTGCGGTGCAGTTTGAAAAAATGCTCAAACATCATATATGATGCAGTTTGCAGTTTGGCCTAAACCGCACCAAACAAAGCCACGAACACCCCTACTTTTATTAGTAATATCATAAATAATTATCATAAGATAAAATAAGAATTAATTATAGAAAATTAATTATCATAACAATAATTAAGAATTAATTATAGAAAATTTCAGGGAGTCAGGTTTTTGTCATTTGGGGTGGATTAGATATAAATTAAATATAGATTTATAGATCATTTATTATTTATTAAAACTTAAAACTGATTAGTTGTTGGTGTATTTGTAGTTATGTATTTTACTGTTACATGAAGAGGCCATATTGTAAGAATCATTCCAACTTTAAACAATTAACAACATCAACAAATTAAGTCTATATAATTAGGAATAAATAACAAAAATTAGGCCAATACACAAATTTACCTGTGAGAGTTAGGGCCTGTTTGTTTTTTCAAAATTACCTTTTAATACCTCTGAAATCTGATTCGTTCAGACGTTTGGATATTAAGAACGTTTGTTTTATTTATAAACTAACCTTCAGATTGGATTGTCTTTTGGAAAAACGAGAGGCTTTGTAGACGTATGTGGACCTAAACATGCAACTACATCTCGAAAAAAGCGTAGCCGTGTTTGTATCTATTTATCTTTGTTTGACAGTGTTGTTTGAAAGAGGTTGTATTTGCAATTTTCACTATTGATACACTAAACAAAATTGGGTTTATAGTACACCCCCAATCTCTAAGCGTTCCAATAGACCGCTTTATAAGACTTAATTTATATGACCCAAATATAAAGCGTCTTATCTAAAGATGTTGTAATAAGTTTATATAACGCTTTTGGACGTCTAGTTTTTAGGACATTTTTAATGCAAAGTGTCGCATTAGCAACTCAATAGGATAATTTTGAGAAAGTGTCATATAAACCTAATTTTTTATAGGACATTTGTTTTTATAGGACAATTTTTCAAATAATATCCTAACTGAAACCATAGAAAAGAAGGGAAACCGAAAAACCCATCGGAATTGTGAGTGGGCTTGTACCTCAACCCAATGCAATAAAATCACTATAAGATATTGTATATGATTTAAAACCAAAACAAACTACGCCAATGGACATATCGTATTAGACCATAAGTTAGTAACTTAACGTTTCATGTACACAAGAGATACTTCACCATTATTTCCTTTCAATTAATTGCCTCCCGATTGAATCGAAGATCCACCGGTTGAAACAACGGTGGTGCGGGCCCATGGCCAGAACCAAACGACGTAATATGGTCTTTTAGCGATCTCTTATGCTTGAAATCGGAACCACACACACACAACCACCGTTTCCCACAATTCTTCTCGTGTGTTCGCCAATCGCCTTTAACCGCAAAACTCTTCCCGCACTTTCGACATGAGAAACGCTTTGTCCCGTGTTTCCTTTTGTAATGCGTTTGGAGGGTTCGGAAATCCTTTAGAGGCTTCGATCTCGGATGGTTAATGTTGTTCTTGCACTCTTCTTCACAACAATAGCATGGCACCCCAATCATCACTCGTGGTTGCGTTCCTCGAAGCGACTCCGCTCCTTTTCTGTATTCTGATCCATGACCCCACATGTGCATCTGCAATTTAAAGCACAAAATCATAGCAACACGATCAAAGCGTCCCTTTAGTCATGCAATATGATCGCTTGGTATATGCTAAAAGGGTTTAAAAACAATAGAAACGTAGCATAAGAATGGTCATAACGAAAAATGGACGTCACCTGAAGGTTATTATAACGATTGAACGTTTTATTGCATATTTGGCACGAGAAGTGAGTGAATCCGGCTAGTATCTGAGCACGACTAGGTATCCAGTACTCGGCATTAGCCGACATATCTCCAACTATATTATTATCAGTATGACGATCGTCGTCATCATCATCATTATCATCAACTACGATAACGTTCTTATTGTGTCCACTAGGAAGCCCGATACGTAATGCCACGGTTGAATCTTCATCGTCCTCGACTCCATTGCAGCGTGAACTTGAATTCCCCTCGAGCTTGCATGGTTCGAGAGAAAGAAAGCTCAAAAAGGGTATCGGTTTTGCCGACTCTTGGGCTTTGGTCTTAAGGAAATCGAATGGCTCGGAAACCGTGTTGTTCGGTTTACTCGAAGAAGCAAAGAGGTCCATGTTTTCATGAAATTGAGGGTGTTACGGGGTGAAGTTGAAGAATGGGAGTAAATAGGATTAGAGGAGGGACAGTAGCTGGAGAGAATGAGTTGGTTGGAACGAAATGGATGTAATAAATTTGGTCTACTTTTGTAAACTTAATCTACTTTTGGGTATGAAAAGTAAATATCTTAAATACCATGGACCCATTTGTAATTAAATTGGGAAGAATTTTGCCACAGAAGGGCTCAAACTCTTTGGTAACCATCGATTTTAAGTAACTTTAAAATGCGTGTTGTTATTTGTACCCTTTTTGAGTTGGATCGGATTTTCGGAAATATAAAATAGTGACGAGATGTCGAAACAACGTAAAATTGGTTTTTGTCTCTTCTATGTAAAAGACGTATGTATCCTTATGACATTGTTGATTGATAATGATGTTAATTTATACTGATTGAATGAATGGTAACGATACCTTAAATTTTGGTAAATAAACGTATAAATATTTGTTTAATCACATATCTAAAATACGGTTGATAATAACGTAGTTGTTGAGTACAAGGTTATTTATGAATTAAAAATAGTCTGTAACAGAACTTTGGTAAAGTATTTATTTCATGTATCGTCAAATATGGATTGTATGTAATTACACCTTTTCTTGCCTTACACAAAGTCTTTCCTAAAACTACTTCTTTCGTATACATGATAAGGTAACAACTTTAGAAGTCAATTTAACTGTTTTTTCATAATTCATTAGTCGCCTCCTATTTTAATCAAGGTTCGAGAAAAACAACTTCAATATAATACATTAATTTATTCATATGGTTGTTTTATGACGATGCACATATAGAATAAAATTACATGTTTCGTCTATGAGCTTTATGTTGGGGTAATATGGGATTGTGGTTTGGAAGGACTTTGATAATTTTCTGGATCATGAATCGGAATCACTTTCCAAATGTTATATTTCGTCCATATTAAAAACACCTTAAGTTAACACGAAATTAATATTGAGATAATTCAGAAAATTCATATTCGTTTTTAGGGCACAAAAAACGTGTGTGTGTATATTCATGAGATCAGCCATCTATGTATTTATAAGAGAGACCGACGGATAATGACGATTTGCCAATTAAAATGTAACTTCAAGGAAGTTATAACCACGTACGGATTAGATTGGGTGACAGTTACAACTGAAACCGAGTTAGAAGTACTTCGGCCAAGGTGAGTCCAGAGGAGCCACGATTAGAGGCATTAACATTATAAGTATCAGAGGCTCTGCTCAAAAGACCAAAGACTCTGGTCCTAAGACTCAGAACCTGAGTAGACTCATAAGCTTTGAAGTAAAGGCTCATAGGCCCTGAGTCCAAGACCTTTGATCCATACTTATGCAAATTTCCATTAAGTTTAGAACCATTTCAAGAAGGTTTGCAACCTTCTTGAAATTCGTCCAAAACATCCCAAAACTTATAATTGCTAAATAAACCTCTTCTTTAAACTTGTAAAGGGGCACTGTCCCTAAGACCTCACAAGGGGGTGCGACCTTGTGACGACGCACTCCCTATGGTGATTTTAAGGTGATAGAGACAACATTAGTGAGTGTGCGTTATGCACCTCCTAACTTACATTTTGTTTGCCGAATTACCTTAATCGATCTCACGTAAATGACAATTACATAATTGATGACACTAAAATTAACAACAATTTATAATTTTTAGAGTAAATTACATTTTTGGTCTCTATAGTAGTCCCCTACTAGCATCTTGTGTCCATGGATTTCTAATAATACATTGGCGGTACTTGTGGTTGCTATATTGTTTTGCTTTTGGTCCTTTTGACCAACATCGGTTAAAAATGATATTAAGTGAGGGGCGGTTTTCATTTTTCATTTTGGCCATGAGAATAATAACATAATGGAGAGGGGTGAATACAATGTTCTTAAATTTTTTAATAAACTATAAGAATTTACGAAAATAGAAGATAGTTACATAATATAAACTAAATATCAACAGGTAGGTGATCAACAATTTATAACGATCTCTTTCTATTTGACAAATATATTTCCTCTCTTAATCACCCAATTATACAATGAACTCAGATAACTATTAAGAAAGCTATTCTACTAAAGAAATGAAGTTTCTTGTGAGATAGTAAGTGATATGTTGTTGAAGTATGTGAGCTTGAAAACAACAAGATATTCTTATGAGAGCTCTTTTCCTGTGTAGTTGTCTTCAAGGTATTTATATGTAAGAATGGATATGCCAAATATAACAACATATATAAACGATTTGTGTGGTCTTAAATCTAGTAGAAATCCTAGTGGACAAAGAACCCAAAAACAATTGTAGATCACGATGACCGATCGAAATGTTGCAAATGTAACACAACAAAGAGATACTAACCATAATGTAAATGATAACAAGATATGCAAGATCTAAGCATATAAACAAGTCAAAACATTATAACAAGAAGATTTAACGTGGTTCCACTATCGAGTGATGATGTAGGTTTACCAAAGAGATAGAGTAAGATTATATTACCACTAAAGGAGATTACAATGTGCTTGTACAAGATCCTTGGATCCAAATCAACCAATAACATCCATGAACACCAAGAACACTCTCTGAAGCTCACATATACTATAAATGGAAATGCTAGAGAGAGAGAGAGAGAATAAAATGGGGGTATTGAGTTAGCTAGACTCATCTTAAAAATCCGTCGTGCTACCTGATCTTTTATACAAAAGCCAAATCTAAAGAAATGGGAAAACATATGGGTTGAGTACCTAAATGTCGTCAGCCAAAAAACACATGGGTGATTTAAGGCGTGACCCTAGTCATATGAAGGTCGTCGACCAAAAGAAGATACATCGGGACTGTAGACGTTTACATGGGTAAGTGCACCGAGCTGGTCACTTAAGCTTTTGTGGAGCTGTACTTGGCCTAAGACACAACTCTAGTCACCTAGACCCCAAATTTTTTCCCCCTGATCTTTTTTAGTAGCATCAATCAAAGTGATAAATTAATATCTCAAGACTTCAGTTTGATGATTTGTGTAAGGTAAATCATTAGAATGTTGTCCTTTTACTATTTTCTCAACCAATTTCTTCAAGTTATGTGATGGATGTCTCCTCCGTTGAGGTAATGACATAAAGCATTTTATGCTAAGTAGTTCATATTTAATGCAAAGCATGCTTACTTACCAGGTTGAGTTTTGAGGCACGAGAGCAACGTTTGGTGTGGTTATGATAATGTACATTTGTTCTTTTTGCATTTCGAAAAGGCAAACATCTTCAGTTGATGGATCGTCCGGTATTGACATCTTCAGCTAATGATTCAACCCATCTATCAGTTGCTTCAATAACTGTTTAGGATCTTCTAACGCTTGTATATAAATGAATTTAGGTTGATCAAGAGTCAGACTTTCATATGATATCTTCATCTGATGTTCAACACTTATTGGTATGGATTGACCAGCTGCCTCACTTGTCAGCATCAAGTTATAGCTTTATCTGATAGAGTTTCATTTCATCAGATGATTTGCCAATACATTTGTTCTTTGATCTTCTTAATTATTCAATTTCCTCTTATCCACCAATCTTCTCCCTCTTTGTTTCTTCACCATTAAAATTGAGATACCACCAAAAACCACCGAAACCATTTCCATTTTCCTCTCCTTTTCAAGAGGACCCTCTTCTTCTCTAGTTCTAACCACTCAAAGGCTCCAACTATCCATTGTAGTTCACCTTTCTTTACAATTACCCCAATCAAACACCTAAACTATCTTTTTTCCCCTCTTTCTTCAATAATATTCATCTTTACCTCCATCACCAATTGTTTCTGTTTTACCATTTTTGATCAGACTACCATCCGCTAGGATCCTTAGTTTAAGTTATTGAGAAAGGTTCACAATGTGATACTATATATAAGAAGCATGTGTTCACAATGTGTTATTTAAAAATATGTTCATAGTGTGTAATTCAAATATCTAATATTTAATTAAAACATGCGTTCACAATGTAATTAAGATAAGTGTTCACGGTGTTCAAAAAGCTATGTACAGAAAGTAGTACACAACATGATAATAATGGATACAAGTATAAATCTTTAATTAAAACAAATATTCACAACGTTTAATTAAAACAATTGTTCACAATATGTAATATTTATTCGACGAAAACAAGTGAAGGATTATTATCTCCTCTCTAAAGAGTGGACAAAAAATAGAGGGACTACAAAAAAAACCCATAATGTCGTTGATTTAAATTATATTTGTCAAAACTACCAAATTACAATATTATTGTATTACCCCTTGATTTAAATTATTCTGTGGTTGTCATTGAATCTTATGGATCTCACAAAATGTTCGGTTTCCCGTGAATGACACACACACATATATATACACACATTATAGTGTCTACTTTGTTTCACATCCTGTAGCAACATTATCCATTTCGTCTTATACAACATTTAATTTCACTTTGTAGGTTGTTCAAAATCGATGAAATCAAACATTGTTGTAGCTATAATCATTTTGTTCACCGTGGTTCTAATGAATAGTATATTGATGCCTATTAAGTTGCAATATTGTCGTTTAAAGATATAGAGATATAGATGAGGAATAGGAAAAACTATTGAATGATATTCTATTGATAGTGGACTATTATCTTGGGAGATTTAGGAATAATAAGTTCAGCTTATTATTTTGCCAAAAGTGTACATAATCTAGGGGATGAAATTCTAGCGGAGGCTGGTGTAAATGGAAAGATATAAACAATTAAAGATTTGATTGAGGTCTCTCAACTTGAAAGCATTGAAGTTCATCCTCCTACAGGGATTACAAATAAAGGTTGTGGGGACGGAAAACATCTTATTGGTGCAACTAAGAAAGCAGGCGTGAAAACTGAAAAGCTCAAGAAACAAGAGAAGGTGCAAAAGTTGCGAAAAATCCGGTGAATCATGACTTGTGTAACTGTCCCAACAAAGTAGTTGATTGTTTGTTTTTTTTACATTCTATCACAT